CCATGTGATAGTATTAGATCTAGAGTATGATTATGACAATGAGTAGGTCCTGAAACAAACACACTCACACACACACACACACACACACACACACACACACACACGCACGTCAAGACTGCCTCTGTGAGCTGGTGTCATTTCCACTAACAGGGATCACATGACGCGAGACGAATCGCGTCAGAGAGACAGAAAGTGGCTCCAGAAGACTGGTGACTGTTTCACACTGCTGTCCTAAACCTCTGTGATCGACTGATGATCCCTCTGGATATCTGTGGCCGTCACTGGGAAACACATGGGCAGATTCTCTGAGGCAGGGGGTGCAAACCTGCAGTCCGTTCACAGAGCCTCTGTTGTGTGTTACACACACACACACACAGAATCTGGAGAGCTCTGGTCAGACCGGCTGGAAAACAGAGGATGTTCACAATATAACGGCTGCTACGAGTGACTCTGCCCTGGATGGGACACCGTTTGTGAGCGGAGACACTTATTAGAAACCAGAGATCCACAGGCAGAACCGTATGTTCAGAGTGCATGCAGATCTTCTTCAGAAACTGGAGTCAGTCAGCAGGTCTGCGCCGCAGCTCCTCTCGGCCCTGTATCTGTTGCTTACGCTGCTAACCTGTGTGTGGCACAGGTCTGAGATCTGTCATAGACGTCTACACTCGTCCCTCTGCTCCTCGAACCCTCCACACGCAGAGCTCCCACCGCCTGACCGAGCCGGGTCCGAGCTTCAGTTTCCCATCACCGCATCTGCCCGTCCGGCCCTACACTGCGCCTCGAGTCACACGAGTGATGAAGCGGATGCTCATGTTCCCTTTAATGACCTCTGAAAACATTTTCAAGTTCAATATTCACATAATATAGGGAAGACAAACATCCTCTGAGATCCCAGTGGTTCTGCAGGGTGACGAGAGGCGAAGCATTACCCTACTGTCTGTCAGACTCACACCATGACAGCTTCCTCGCTCATGAACACAGCATCCGAACTGCATTCAGGACACACAATCCCACAATCCCAGATCCAGCAGTTCCTCCGGAGACTCCACACTGACCTGTGCTCGAGTCATGTGACGCTCACAGCACATGTGGGTGTTTACTGGATCCAGACGCATGTAAGTGTGGCTCTGTGAACTGTGCTACAATTCTCTGTCTTTATAAAGAAAGCAGTGAGGAAGCGATGGCTCGGGGGTTTGTGATCTGGTTGTGATGGCCTATATAACAGCAGTGATAACACACAGAGCAAGATGAAGCTGCACAGAAGAAAACAGCACCAACCACATCCATCAGTGGAGTCCGGCTCGTATATCACACAGACACTGAGATGCTCTGTGGATTCAACGCCAAATACTGTGTCTATAAGCTCATGCAGAATTGAGACCCTTGTGTGTGTGTGTGTGTGTGTGTGTGTGTGTGTGTGTACTGTATGAAATGTATTACAGCACTTCTGTGTTTGCATTTGATATCAGGCAAACACAAACACACAACAGAAGACAGTAGAGAGAGAGAGAGAGAGAGAGAGAGAGATGAGGATGAGATGGAGGACAGAGAGAGAGAGAGAGAGAGAGAGAGATGGAGGACAGAGAGAGAGAGAGAGAGAGAGAGAGAGATGGAGGACAGGGAGAGAGAGAGAGAGAGAGAGAGAGAGAGAGAGAGAGATGGAGGACAGTCAGGTAGATGATGTGGCGAGACGCGATACCTTTCTGGGGAAGATGATTTTTCTGAGTTGACGGACATGAGCAAGCCGCTCGCTCCCGAGAGAAGACCGGAGCAGAAGCAGGGACGAATAAAACGCGCTCTCTCTCTCTCTCTCTCTCTCTCTCTCTCTCTCTCTCTCTCTCTCTCTCTCTCTCTCTCTCTCTCTCTCTGTGTGTTTCCGGAGCGTTCTGCTGTGAGCGAGGGGAGGCGCTCGTCCTCCTCTTCTCCTCTTCCTTCGAGGATGGAGGACACAGGCTGTGAGACGGAGACGAGAGGACCGTCTCAGTCCTGTTTCCCCGGCCGACTGCTGTTATCCTGCGCTTGCTCGCTCGTCCCCAGCGCCCTCGTTTCCTGAGTGACGATGACAGCGCAGCTCCCACACACTGTGTGTGTCTGTGTGTGTGTCTGTGTGTTCTGCAGCGCTGCACAATAACAGATCTGTGCGCGCAGCGGGCGACACCACTGAGAGCGAGCGGCGGGGGGATCTGAGAGGAAACCACAGTGTCTCTCGCTCGCTCTCTCTCTCTGCTCCCCTCACACAGTCCAGCGCTCCGTCTGTTACGACATCCTGTATCTCAGGGCAACGCTCGCCCGCACTCTCTCTCTCTCTCTCCCCCATTTTACAGCTGCTCTCTCTCTCTAAAGCTGCTGCTGGTTTCCTTTCTTCATTCTCTCCTCTCGTCTGTATTTTACAGCTGATGGGGTTGTTTCTCGGTGAGAAAGCACAGAGAGGGAGACCAGTGACCTGTCTGTCTCTCTTTCTGCCTGTCTGTCTGTCTCTCTTTCTGTCTGTCTGTCTGTCTCTCTTTCTGTCTGTCTGTCTCTCTTTCTGTCTGTCTGTCTCTCTATCTGTCTGTCTGTCTCTCTATCTGTCTCTCTTTCTGTCTGTCTGTCTCTTTCTGTCTGTCTGTCTATCTGTCTGTCTCTCTATCTGTCTGTCTGTCTCTCTATCTGTCTCTCTTTCTGTCTGTCTGTCTCTCTATCTGTCTGTCTGTCTGTCTCTCTTTCTGCCTGTCTGTCTGTCTCTCTTTCTGTCTGTCTGTCTCTCTTTCTGTCTGTCTGTCTCTCTTTCTGTCTGTCTGTCTCTCTATCTGTCTCTCTTTCTGTCTGTCTGTCTCTTTCTGTCTGTCTGTCTATCTGTCTGTCTGTCTCTCTATCTGTCTGTCTGTCTCTCTATCTGTCTCTCTTTCTGTCTGTCTGTCTCTCTATCTGTCTGTCTGTCTGTCTCTCTTTCTGCCTGTCTGTCTGTCTCTCTTTCTGTCTGTCTGTCT